GACAACAAATGGCTTTCATCAAGAATAGGCAGATCATGGATGCAGTATTGATAGCCAATGAAAGTGTAGATTCCAGAGAGAGAGACAAGAAACCAGGGATCCTATGTAAACTGGATATCCAAAAGGCATATAATCATTTGAATTGGAACTTTTTGATGAATCTGTTACAAAGGATGGGATTTGGAACAAAATGGCTAAAATGGATGAGACAGTGCATAAGCACAGTGAAATTCTCTATTCTGATCAATAGAAGCCCATGTGGCTTCTTCTCGTCATATAGAGGTCTGAGACAAGGGGACCCCTTATCCCCTTTTCTCTTTATCTTGGACATGGAAGGACTAAACAACCTATTTCAGACAGCAAAAGTAAAGGGCTGGATCAGAGGTTTCCAAGTGGGAAATAATACAAGAAATAATCTAGAGATTACTCATCTACAATATGAAGATGATACTCTAGTTTTTTGTGATGCAGTAGAGGAGCAGATGCTGATTTGAGGGTCATCTTCAATATTTTTGAGGCTGTTTCAGGTCTGCACATAAACTGGAGCAAGAGTTTCATCTATCCAGTCAACACAGTGATAAATATTGAAGACCTAGCCAATACACTAGGAGGGAAAGTGGGTGAATTACCAACAACCTACTTGGGAATGCCTTTGGGGTCTAAGAGCAAGTCAAAAGAAATATGGAGTGGAGTAATTGAGAAATGTGAAAGGAAGCTTGCAAATTGGAAGTGTCAATATTTATCGTCAGGTGGCAGACTAACTCTAGTTAACAGTGTCCTGGATGCCCTTCCCTCGTACATGATGTCATTATTCCCTATACCAGCCAAGGTAGCCAAGAGGTTGGATGCAATTAGGAGGAACTTCTTATGGCAGGGAAGCGAAGATAAGAGAAAGTACCATTTGGTCAAATGGGAGGAACTGCTGGTAAGTAAGAGAGGGGGTGGACTCAATATCAGAGAGCTGAAAACCTAAAACAAGAGTTTGATGATGAAATGGTTGTGGAAATTTGTCTCACCAGAAGTATCTCTATGGAAGGAAGTAATAATAGAAAAATATGGCATGGAGGATAAATGGATGACAGAGGTGGTCACCAACCCTTACAATTGTAGTGTATGGAGGTCTATCAGGAACCTATGGCAGCTGGTCAAAGAGAGAGCAAGCTGCAAGGTGGGCACTGGAGAAAAAGTAGCTTTTTGGAATGACATTTGGTGTGGACAGGAAGCACTCAAACATGCCTTCCCTGTACTACATAGTTTGAGCCAAGGACAAGAAGCAACAGTGGCAGAGTTATGGACAGGACAAGGGTGGAACCTGGTTCTAAGAAGGGTACTAAATGATTGGGAGATGACAACCATAGCAAGATTTCATGATACAATGCAAATGGCTACCAATCTGACAGGAGAGGAAGATAGACTACTATGGAAGGGGGAGAGAGGGGGAGAGTTCACTGTAAAATCAGCATACAGAGAACTCAGGTCTACGGAGGAGCAGCATGCAGGATGGCCCTGGAGGATGATCTGGAGAACAGAAATTCCCTACAAGGTGAATTATTTCACATGGCTCTTGGCAAAGCAGGCAGTCTTGACACATGAGAACTTAAACAAGAGGAAACCCAATCTACGCTCTAGTTGCTATCTATGTGAAGAACAGGTGGAGACAGTCAACCATCTCTTTTTACACTGCAAATGGACTGATCAATTGTGGCAGATGTTTATCCAAAAGAGGAAGATTAAGTGGACAAAGCCGGGGAGTATTATAGAAGTCCTACAATGTTGGAACAGGGATGGAAATGCAAGAAAAAATGAGAAGAGATGGAGGATTGTCCCAGCTTGCATTTGGTGGACAATTTGGAAGGAAAGGAATCAAAGATGCTTTGAAGGAAAACAGAACAATATCCAGAAGATAAAGACTAATTGCCTAGGGCTTTATTATTTTTGGTGTAAGCAAGTAGTGATAGGAGATACTGAAAATGTGTTTAATATTATTGACTGGTTGTAACTAGAAGATCCTAGGAATGATGTAAGTAAAACTTTTTGGAGGGGGACTACACTTTGATGTAGTATACCTGTGGATATATAGAAGTAATGTTACCTTTCTCAAAAAAAAATAAAAGACCTCTTTTATGCTTCTATTCTCGCTTTTTCTCTTTTTTCTTTCCCTTGTTCCAATAATACCATTGAAAAGAGCTTCACCATTCAGGCCCTCTCCCTTTTCAGACTGCCTTCTCGCATTTTCACAATGCATTGCTCTCTCTTACCCGCTCTCTCACACTGAACACAAGTTTTTCTTCACTACACTCCCTGGTATTCTTTCTTCCCTAAGAAACTCATGTCTCACACTGCAATAAATAAATAACTCAAACAACATGTAGCCTAGATATATACAAGAAAAGAGCAAATAAGCATTGGATACTCAAAACTCAAACTACTCAGTCCTATGAGATCATGGCTCCAAATATGTTGTTGGTGTGAAGCTAGGTTTAGTACAGGCAGAATATGCCATTAGCCATAACTCTGGGACTGGGGCAATACTTTTCTGTTCCAGAAAGAGGTTCTAATTCAAATTCCTAGTTGATCAGTAAATTTTAAGCAACTAATCAGATAATTTGAGGTTGAGTTTCAAGGAACTTTTGGATACTGTAGAGACCGGCAATAATTCCTGTTGAGAGCCTTTTCAAATATGAACATCCATACTGTAATAAAATTGTGCCTATAAAAATTGAAATCTTATTGTAAAAACTATTCCAAAATATATAGGGAAAACCTAAGTGGGTATGGAGGGAATACTTCCCATGTTCATTTCTGGGTGGGTTTTGAGGAAGATGGAAATGAATAACGGGTCTTTTATGGTAATTATGGTGTGAATGAGATGACTGGGAAGGGAGGCTTGAGTTATTTGTTTTATGTGTGTAAGCAAGTGAAGGAGGTGAGAGTTTGTTGGGTTTCACATGAGTCTAAATTTATGAGATTACAACAATTTGATGGTGCAGACCTATGTCAGATCTCAACCCAAGATAAACTAGCAAAGAAGAAGAGAAGACTAGAGTACCAGTTATGCAAAATCAAGCAGCCCTAAAGGATGTGACATCATAAAGAATTCCCATTTTTCTTAATCCTCCGGAGTTAACTTCATTCAAATATGCCAGAGGGTTAAATCATGTAATGCAGCTAAGACTCCAATTCTGGTCACCTCCTTTGCCCCTCTGAGAGTCCTCTAATGGCTAACCACTTAAACCTAAACTTATGCAGGGTAAAACTCCTTACTACAGGCTGCAGTTTCATTCTTTTTCATGAAACTAGTCTTGAGTTGTACCGCTGCATACACTCTTCATTTGGCATCTTCCTTTGCTACCCCTTTGTTCCCTGAACTTCTGACCTTCAACATGCTTGTGAAACAGTGGAGACAAATAGGTTTACCTTCTATATAGTATATACTGTATTGCATCATTTACATTGGCCTACATGTTTTCAATTTTCATCGGCATGAAACAAACATATGTCTGTTACCCAACTGTCGTTTACAGAGACACCTATTGTTGCTTCTTTGATTCAGGTTTAAGTTGCTAAAATAAAGGCATAGTGTTGGAAACTGGTGTCAAAAAAACAGCATGACAAATTGAAGTGTATAGTTCAAGACTTCAGGTTACACATTTGAAGGTTCACTTTAGGTTACCCATTTGAAGCTTCTCACTTGAAAACAAAAGATAACTAAATTTGGTTGATAGAATATATACGATACCTCATTTCGATGTAGCAGAGCGAATTGAAGTGTAGTACATGTTGTGCATCAGCTAGTTTCTTGCTATGTAAGAGAATTATAAGAAAATTAGCTTCCTGAATGGACCTCATATGAAAAGGCTCTAAATTGATACAGTATAAAATTCCATACTCTTATCAATTTTATGTCAACATCAATATCTTAAGTCATAAACACAAGTAAGAACCAAATAAACCATAAAACAACCCGGTGCCCATAGAGCAACAACAACAATAACATACCCAGTGAAATCCCATAAGTGGGTCTGGGGAAGGTAGAGTGTGTACAGACCTTACCACTACCTCCTCGAGGTAGTGAGGCTGTTCCAACTAAGTTGCTCGGAGTCTCCAAAATATTACCGCACCCGTGTCGGATCCTTCAAAAGTATACTATTTTTGGAGGATCCCACACGCACCTGTCGACATTTTTGAAGAGTTTGAGCAACATAGATTTCTGAAATACCCTCAGCTCGAGTGCAGCAAATTCAAATACAAAGAAAAAGAAAACAGTGTAGAAAACATAGCAATTAACACGTTGGGCCAACAAAATAGTGCAATAATTGAAACACACTAAACACCTGACTTTACGAGATATCAAAAGTAAGAACTACAATAATACCATGTGATATCAGGTACCACAAGACAAAGACTATATGAATAGGTTAATACGATGACTGACACGGTGCTCTATACTACCACCAAGTCAAATACAAGAACAGGCTAGTAATAAGACAGCTCTGAACTACCTACCAACCTTCTACCTTTATCCACGACCTGAATATCTTCCTATCAACAAGCACATTGAAATTGTATCAACCCTCAAAATATCCAACACAACAACTACATCTCCTCAACTAACATGAATCCTCAACACAAACATCAACAACAGAAAAAAATTAAAAGACAATCTGCTATTTCATAATGCATAGGACATGAACAAAAAAAGAAAAACTTGACTCACCCCGCCACAAGCAACGCTATAAACATCACCACACTTAGAGAGACAAAAAAAGAAAGATTAGAGAATTTGAGATTAGGAAATGTATTCCTACTATGATGCCGAAGAACCAAAAATGTCAGTCCTTTATCCCAAAAACTTTTGACACCACTTCGATTTGTCAACTAAACGAGTAGAAATTATGAAATTAATCGATAAAAACAGCAACTTGACGTGATTTCGACCGTTCCAGAAAACCCATATAAGAAAATTAAAAAATAAGGAAAACCCAGAAGTGAAAACGAACCTAGCTTGGTGAAATCACCAGAGGCGAGCGCATCAGAGTAGTATTTATCATTGTAACGAATTGGGAATAGTACAGTATTGATCTTCTTCAGCTGCATCATGTTCTTGTCCCTTACATTGTCCAAGGAGATTAACATTTCACGCCCCGCACCCATTGTCTGTTGAGAGATTCTTAGACACTGTAAATGGCTCAAAAGGGTTGCGGTGGAGGAGGAAGAAGAAGAAGAAGAAGAAGAAAAGATTTGGTTTGAGCCTGACGTATAATGGTTCATCACATTGCTACATATCTTAAACTAGCTTATTTAGGAAGGATATAATTTGAAGTTAAAATGTCTAATCCCACAAGCTTTAGGAGTTGTGTCGATTATGCTACGAGTCTAAAATGACATAAGAGGGACCTTAATTTGAGGCAGCTTTCATTAGATTGTGTTTTTGAATGACTATGATCTCTCTATTATCTATCATTTGGGCCAAATGTAGTAGCGTGCTCCAAAATCACATTTATGAAGCTTTTCCTTTTTGTATCTCTACAGAACAGTGACACACTTAGACACCAAAAACAAATAACAGAGATTCGAAGCACAAGTTTTAAAATTCGACATATTGTAAACGTGAATCAATTCGATTGAATAATATATCAAAATTATTGAAATACCAAGAGGAGGTTATATCTAAATTTTGAGTTATTTAGAGAAAGATTTGACCTTTTGTCCATTGAAATTCTCAAATTTTAAAATTTGACCTACCACAAACGTGAATTGTTCCGAGTGAATAATATATCAAAAGGCTTGAAACGTCGAGAGTAGTTCATACCTAGAATTTAAGACTATTTAGAGGAGATTCAAATTGGTTAGGAAAATAATCAATTTGCTAAGAAAGATGAACGATTGATATAACAATGTATATAACTGTATATACATCTCTCATATATACATAGAGAGAGAGACTTTGCACATAGTTCTTAAATTTGGTTATTTTGAATGTTTAATTAATTTATATTGCATATAAACTACAGACGAAAATGAAGGTGTTAAGACAACTTTGCCACAAACTGATTCATATATAATTGATGAAGATGATGTGTTGTTGAATGTGCCATAAGTTTCATGAATCTTTTTCAAGAGTTCATTTTTTACTTTTTAATGGTTGGAATATTGTCATTTTTTTGTGTGTGTTTATTGTGATCATTGAACAACACTTAGGTTAATATACATTTATGTTTAGCTAGTTATATTTTTACTTGATGTCAAACTCAATAAGTAATATAAAAATTATTTTATTTATGAATTTAGTTAACAAATAGTAATCCTAACATCATATAATATTATTTTTTCGATATTTATATTAATATATTTAAATTATAATTAATTTAAAATTTTATATAAAATATACTTTAAAAAAGAGTAAATTTTAGGTTTAGCAAACATAAAAATCATAGTTGTATGTTATAGCTATAGTTTGTATAATTGCGCTCCATAGCAAACTTTATGTTTGCTATGGAGCATCAGATTTGTATAAATCGATGGCAGCCTCTCGTTTGTATAAATCGCTGGCAGCCTCTCAATTCAATTTTATGTTTTTGTATATCTGCATAAAATTTGAATTTGTACACAATTGAATCGAAATAAAACGTTTGTATATCAAATCTCTCTCTCTCGCTTTATACAACACAAATTATACATTGTAATTTGTATAATTTGTGTTTGTATAAAGCGAGAAAGAGAGAAAGGCAAAAGAGAACTGGCAGGGGAAGATTTGTATTTGTATAATTATAAGTGTCTAAGATGAAAATATATGTATTTATATTTACAGTTTTCTCTCGCTTTATACAAACACAAACACATTTTATACATTTGTGTTTGTATAAAGTGAGAGAGACAACTATTTGCTACGGGTTACAATTAAATCAAATTGTGATTATAACATTTAATTTGAATTAATAGTTTGTTATTTTATACAATTTTCCCTTAAAAATAGACTGACCTGCCATAGCCCATAACCCACATACTGGTGGGTTGGACTGATTGTTTACTGGCCCACAAAAAAAATGAATCAGCCCAACATGACTCGTCAAATTCCAAAGCTTCTATGGGGGCTAAGTTCAGATAGAGTGGGTCAATCCATATTGATAGCTCTAGACAAATTGATATCTTTTCTTGATATATTAAATGACAAGTAAAAATAAAATTTATTTTTGAAATAGTGAATAGTAATTTAGTTGAACTTTCGATTTTTTTAATAAATAATTTATTCTTTAGATTTGTCTCTTCAATGAGGTGTATTTGGTATCACGGAGATTCAACAGAGATGATAGAAAATTACCCCTTCATTCACTTTTATTTGTCATATTTGAATTTAATATTGTTTTATTACACAATTTCTATTAATTGGTGTTTTCTTAAAACAAATAAATTATTTTTTCTTAATATATTAAATGATAAGTAAAAGTAAAAATTAGTTTTTGTTATAAAATATTGTGGTGTGGATGTCCACTACACCAAGAAGTTACTATCACTAATTATAGCTTCATTACTTCCCTCTATTATGAAGATAACCTCCACTTTTATGATCACTATTCTTGTAACTTTCACCTTCCTAACCTCTTCCATTATATTCATGTTTAATGTCATGTTTATGACTAACATTTTGTATGCATCTATGTTAAACTATAAATAGAGGCATAAGGGTTCATATTGTAGACACTTGAAGATTTGGTGAACACTTGAATATTTGGAAGAATAAGAAAAACTCTCATCTCTTGTCTTCCTATTTCTATTATCATCTTCTATATTTCTTGTCTTATTTTGCTTTATTTTTACGACTTTTTAAAAAGTATAACTTATATAAATCTCATAGTGTAAAGAATAAATTACATCATATCCCTACTTTTTTTTCTAATTACAATAATCCCTTAAAATTTGTACCTTCCGGATACATAAGTCACCTTCAGGATACATTAATTCAACATCCAGATACATTAATTCTAATACAAGAAAAATCTTTCTGTTGCGCTAAAAAAGGAATAAAATCTAAAAATTAATTAAATCTCATAAATTATGCTTATTTTTCTTCTTACTATCAATCATACAGAGGCAAATCCTAATAGAGTGAAGAAATTCAAAATTTCAAATTGTTCACCCCGTTCAACGAAGAAACCTTTCAGATTTGATTCAAAAACTTTTGTCGAAATTTTGGGTAAGCGATGTGCGTTATGAAGGATACAAAAGTGATGAAATTGTTGTTGGACAAACGATATCCTTTTGAATCTTCAAGTTTATCGAAAATCCTTTCAATTTTGATTCAAGATTATCAAAAAAATTGAGATTCAAGATTCTTTCTTCTCCAAGTTCAACGAAGATCCTTTCAATTTTGATTCTAAATTGTTGACAATTTTGAGATTCAAAATTCTTCTCCTAGTTTATTGAAGATCCTTTCAATTTTGATTCAAAATTGTCGAAAAAATTGAGAAGATACATCATGAATATCTTTGCTACTTAGATTTTACTATTTATGTATCTTGTTTAAATTGATAAGTATTGTATTTATACTAGATACATTAAATAAATAATTGTTGCCCATAAGATGTTAAATTTGAGATCGATACATTACTGTGTGGTATTTGTTATGTAATTGATACATTTAGTAAAAATTCGAATTTACATATCATATCTAAAAAATTAGTGCATGATACATTACTATTTATGTATCTCGTTTAAATTGATAAGTATTGTATTTATACTAGATACATTAAATAAGTAATTGTTGTCCACAAGATGTTAGATTTGAGATCGATACATTACCGTGTGACAGTTGCGATATAATTGATACATTTAGTATAAATTCAAATTTACGTATCATAGCTAAAAATCAGTGCATGACACATTACTATTTATGTATCTCGTTTAAATTGATAAGTATTGTATTGTTTGCCTGGAAAAATATTTATAACTTACATAATGTATCATTTTATAGTTGATAATAATGTATCTGATACAATAAGGTTGTGAAAGAAGGATGTATGTAAGCTGGAATAAAGTGTATCACAATAAATAAGAATTAAGTTATCAATTAGATACATGAACAAACACAATCCATTAAAGAAATTTGATTATGAAAAACACCAGAAAAAAGAGGAAAATATTAGACTGTATGAAATTTTGGTGAAATTGAAACTAATATTATTATTAGAAAATTAGAAGATTAAATAATAATAATACAAGAATCCTAATTAATTTCAATGAATGATTAGTTGTTAGAGTCCATAACCAACTCGAATATGAAAAAATTATAAATATTATATATATATTTTTTTCAATCAAACACCCGAGGTGAGTTTTATTAACCAAAATAAAGAAACCAAATAAAAATACGAAACCCAACCGTGATTTGGAAATAATCGAAAAACAAAACAACTACTAAACCAAAAAAATAAAAAGAAGGGAAAAGACAAAATAAAAAGAAAAGACGACAGAAAAGGCAAGAACTTCTACAAATATTATATTAATTATTAACAAATAATAACAACTACTACTACTTTTTTTTTCTTCTTAATTTACGTTTTAGTGTAAAAAAAATTGAACACATAGTTTATTTTATTATAAATTTTGGAATATTTTAAAATTTAGATAAAAGACTCATAAATATCATTTTTAAACTTTTTTGTCTAAAAATATCCTTAACCTACAGAAAAGAGATTGATTTTGAATTTCAAACGTGAATGAGAAAATAACTATCAAAATTTTGTGACTAAAAATAAGGAGAGATTTGTGAAGTGAAATAAGGAAGGGATAAATGTTGTTTTGGGAGTTAGGATTTATATATCTAGCGTTTGGGGGTTTGAGAGTAAAATAAGGGATTTTGGAAAATTTTAGAACATAATAATGGAAATTATGAAAAGAAAAAAAAGGTGTGTATATTAAAAAATTATCATTTTAAAATAGTGGACAATACTTTGAGAGTTAATTGTGACTTGTAAGGAACATATTTCGAAACAAGGTTTTAGTAACGTAATATTATCAAAATTGGTCATTAATGAAAATGTGATGTACGTTATTGAAATTTTAGCAGTTTTTTCCCCCTCATATTTATAAGACTTCATTAATGTCTCTAATGAAACCATTTAGTGAAGAGGGTTAAAACAAATGATTCATCTGAACGTAAGAGCTTTTTCAATTCTTAATTAAAATTAATGAAATATGTATTCATTGATAACGTGTATTACA